TTAATACGTTTTGTTTTCCATTTTGAAAAAAAGCATTGTCAACTAATTTGAATGTATTTTCCTAGAAATCAAAGCCAGTATAAATAAACAACATTTTAATTATACACAAGATATTTACAACAATATATGACAATTTGCCAATGATACCATATGCATGTTCTTCCCATTTGTTGTCTTCAAAATGTATATATATTTTTATATATGAGATTCCAAAAATGAACAAAACACGAAGCCAAAACAAATATGGCCAAGTATATTTTCTTTTCATCTTCTTGTGAATAATAAAGCCTTAAGGCAAATATTGGCTTTGGTACCAAGAACAAAAAAAGACAGGCATAAACAAACTAGTCACGGAAAAAAAAAAGAACTCGGAGTGCAAGGCGTACAAAGTCCATATCCTTTTAGTCAAGCCTCTAGCCTGATTTCAACGCCAACTCACTCCTCGAGAAATGAGCCCCGGCAGCTAGGGATGTGGATTTCCAAGGATGTGCATGTGGGTGTGTTTGTGTATGTTTACCGCATGCACACATATGCTATTTAAACATTTTTCGTATGCAAAAAGGACATTCAGTCCTTGATTTTTTTCTTTTGCTTCCATTCTTCATTTTCGTTACCATTCTTTGGCTGTTTGTTTTTCTTGGCTTAGAAGATGCTTCTTCGTTTGGTTCGTTGGGTTTTCGAAGAGAGAAAGAAAAGGAACTTCTGTGCCTTGGCCATTTTAACTGCTAATTCAAAGAAGAAGGCAATTTATCATAGAAAAATATTTGACAATAAAGACAAGTAAAGATAATGATGTTATATAAACTACTCATACTTAAGGTTTGCGGGAGAAAAAGGGGGAGGAGGAGAACACTTGCCAGGCGGCTTATATGTCTTGGCAGCAAGAAAAAGGACAGATTTCCTATATATGAACACTAACAAGAAACAACCATTAGAAAAGGATGTTTATTTTTGTCCAACACACACACAAACACATATACTAATACACAAACACACATGTATCTCTTGCACACGCACATTTCGTTCCTTGTCCAAGTCTCCTTTTTTCTTGTAGACGGCAAGAAGCTTATTTTACGCTTCAAATACCATATGTAAGCATCAACATCATCAGCAGTAGCAGCATCAACATCTCGTTTCTCATATATAAGAATGCAATCTGGACGGAAGTGCAGCTGGGAATATAAATAATAATGAAGCTGCCATCATCACCACCACCACGACGACGACGATTTGGACAAATCCAATGCAATGAGCGATGAGCACGCTGCCATAAAAAGGACATTTCTAACGATGACATCAGCCAGCCAAAGCTCATTTGGGAACAAAAAACTGAAGAAAACAAATAACCTCTGAAAGATTTTGATATGATTTCTGTTGGTGTTGTTGTAATTTTTTTCGGTACGGTTGCCAAATCATAATGATGCATAACCGGCTAAGAAGCGAAAATAGCAAATGTAACCATTTTTGAAGGAGGTTGACAGGAGGGTATCTATGACAATCAAGTCCGTGATTTCTTTCTATACAGATAATTGCAAATTATTTAAAGCGGGACTCAATAGGCAAAGAAACACACAAAATAACCAATTTTTGGAAACAGGAAGGAGAGAACGTATTACACTCCGGACCGTAAAAAAAATATCTACATATAATTTGTGTTCGGCTAAAATCCTTGTCCGAAAAAATAAGCCGGGACTAGTTGACTCTTAAGCAGAAATATTCAGCATTCATATGAGCCTAACCGTTAAATTAAAATCGGTACTAAAGTTGGGTATATTATCTGAAAATCCCGTTTTCCGGATTCGCCATTCGGATTTATTTCCCGCTTTCAAATCCATTTGGCGTCTTTAGCATATATATATTAAATACTTCAAATGCGACGGTTTTTGATAATGTACAATTTTGTAGAAATTTATTAGTCTTTGCAGATATAAGATTTTTGAGCAAGGTTCGGGTTAAAGAGGAAATGGATGATGAAAAAATGCGAATATCGATTTATTGTCATTGCTCTTGAGCGATATTTTATATAATATTTGGAGCTAAAAAATGGATACCCTTCTCCCAGTGGTGTCCATTCAAATCTCCTTAAATTGATCGGAAACGTAATATGAAAATTACTTCTGGAAAGACATTTTTTATTCACCACTTCGGTATGAAATTCTGCTAAAAACTTCAAATTATCGAAAAATACACGAAAATTGTTGGGGTTTTTGAACCTATTCTTCAACCGAATTGGATGCAATTTTGTATTAATATTTTCAGGTTAGCCCCCATATAACGTATAAAAAACAAAATTTATTTTTCTTCGGACTGTATAATGAATTCATGATATCAAGCTGTATAAATTTTGTTGAGCAAAATAAAAAATCGGTTAAAAATGGATGACACACCCATTTTGTATTTTAACTTCTTACTTCCTTATTGAGAAATATACTAAAATAAGTGAAATATGCATTTTTATATAAAAATTAACAAAGTGACCCAAAAAAACCAAAGGAATTTTCGTGGTCCAGGGACCCCAACTAAAACCCCCGGATTTTTTTTTTGTGTCACAGTGTTATTAATAGTGACCCATGTCGGTGTTTTAGGAATTTTGACGCGTTTTTCAACTGAATTGGCTGTAATTTGGAAATTTGTATTTTCGTTGGCTGTCAAATCTCACTACTAAAAATGTTTAATATCGTTACCGTATCGGTGTAGCATTTTTTAACGGTAGCTCCTCTATTAGGTATTTTGAGAATTTAAATACTATGTTCCTCACGACTTTTCTGTATGTGCAATGTCCTATCATAACACGAGGAGCTCCCATTTGTTTCATATATTTTGAATTCTCCAGATTCATTCTCCATTCGTTCACAACCTATTAACCAGTAAGGAAAGTAGTCAAGTCGGACGAGGCCGACTATATGATACCCTTCACCCTTTTGGGTATATCCAACAGAATATACCAAATTATGTGCAAATCGAAAGATATATAGGGACTTTGGTGCACTATTTACCTAAAATCGAAGGAAATATATATGGGAGCTATATCTAAATCTGAACCGATTTTCATGAAACTTGGCAGACATCACATCAGGCTCAATTAAGTACGTTATGCCAAATTTCGTGCAAATCGAAAGATATATAGGGACTTTGCTGCACCATTTGCATAAAATCGGACGAAAATATATATGGGAGTTATATCTAAATCTGAACCGATTTTTCCCAATTTCAATAGGGTTCGTCCTTGGGCCAAATAAGTGACCTGTGCCAAATTTCATCCAATTCGGTTCATAAATGCGACCTGTACTTTGTTTACAATTAACATGGACAGACAGACGGACGGACGGACGGACATGCATAAATCGACTTAGAAAGTGATTCTATGCATATTCTCAAAAGGAACCATGTGTCTATCTCGTTTCCTTTTGCCTGTTACAAACATATGCACAAAGACATAATACCCTGTACCACTGTGTGGTGAAGGGTATAAAAACTGAAGTAGCTATTTTTCGAAACTGATACCATTCCTAAGGCCAGGTGCACTAAATTTATTCCAATTTAGTACACCAACCAAGCTATAGCGATTCCCTCATCTATGTTTAAGATTCAAGCTAAACTACTAAATGTACCCATTTTTCGTTATCTTTATTACAAATAACAGCACACGCCAATAAAATTTTCACCAATTCTGTTCTATTAATTCGTAATGTACTAAATACTTTTCCTACACCTTTAGCACGAATCTCTAAAATCGCCTTCCTACTATAAGCGTACCCTCAAAACAGTACACCGCATACAATCTTCGACATTTATTCCAATACCAATGGTAGCTGCTTTAGTGCAATTCATACACATTGAGTACGAGTTTCTGCATATCGTTTGGGCTTTAAGATCATATATCTTTCATGGACCTATATTGTAATTTATCCGTAAGGGGGATATTAATTCTCTGATAAAATGAAATAGCAAATTACAAACACAATGTTGGAAAATGCGACTAAGACTTTAAACATATAAAATATGGGACAGGACTTTAATGTGGATGCTATGCCAAAACATGGACCTATAGAACTGTTTTTGTTCAGAAGTTTTTCTTTTTTAAAACTTCATGTGAAACACATTAATGTGTCTAGGACCACAAAACCTTTCTATGGGGGCTATGTCAAAACACGGGCCTATATCGATGTTTCACATTGCAGTTAATACCTTCAAAATACCGAAAATGAGGTTTTTTCACAACGAAGGTCGACATAGATCACACATTGAAAACTCTTTGCCAAGAGGTCTTTAATCCTCTGAAACCCCGAAATTTGCAAAGAATGGGACTCTAATAAGGATGGGCTAAGTCTGAACATGGTTCTTTATTGAATTGGACTAAAACCACGCGGCACAGAGCGTGGACCAAATGGTGAGCCACGGATATGGCTAAACCGTCCCTTATTCTGATACTTTTTGGGTCTTTGATGCAAATTATGAGATATTTGAAATGAAATGACAAATTAAAAAAACCCTCCGTAAGATGGATGTTAGAAACATGCGCAACTTTCGCGATTAGTCCCAATAAAATATAATACACACTAAGAGCCTCAAGATATTAACCCTATTCGAAATTGTGCACTGATGCGCCTGACAACAAAGTACTCTTCTTATCACCCTGCAAGTGTCGTAGTTTTCGATACTCTGTAGGTTAAAAAATAATTTTGAATTTGTATTATATAGAAAAGCTCCTGTAACATAAGGCCTTCGATTAGACACTGCTTAAATTCCGATGCTAACATCCCTGTCCACTGTAATGTAAGAAAAAAACTAAATCTCTGACAACAGCCATGGTTAACAAACCGTAAAAAATATAATCTTACACAAACACCTACCCTCCAATCAATTACCAAAATAACTCAATTTCTTCTAGTTGTTGTTGTTCTCCTTACACAATAAGTAGTATATTTAATTTCAAAATAATTTAATATAAATTTAAAACACATAAAAAAGAAAAACTAAAAAATAAAAAAAAACTCTTCTTAATACAAATAATGCCAAATTAACCAAATGGCAAAAACGGCACCCAATACCAAATCCATTGGTAGCGAGAATTTCCCCCGTTGGGATTCTTCGATGCGGGCATTTTCGAATATTTTACGGGCACAACGTAGCCATTGTGTTACCGAAATGGCTTCAGGGGCAGAGAATTCATATTCCTCTTTAATGGAATTATCACGGGAACTTTTACCACTACCGCTACTACTACTGCCCGTGGATGGTGTCGGACTACCACCATTAGAGCCAGCTCCATGGGTAGATTTCATTAAGAGTGATACACTTTTTGAAGAATTCAATTTAAGCTCTATACTACCCCAGGAGTAGTGATTGCGATAGGCAAGGCGACGTTTGCGTATCTCGACACAAAGTAAAAACTGATCGAAAAGGAATACTTTGGCTTTGAACTTTTTGCGTGATCGACAACTGTACGCTTCGAATTCGGTGGAGCGGCGGAAGGCACCAAAGTGGCCGATTGTGAGCTGTAAATAAAAAATATTAATTTACGAAAAATAAATTGAATGTATTTAACATTTTTCTCTTACCTCAGATGGCAATTCCTCTATGTTGAGAACTTCTTCGGATTGATTCACTACTTCAAGTAGCCGGCGCATGCGTGTCTCCAATTTACACACTGAAACCAATACTGGTTTACAATTTATACCACTTTTATAGAATTCCTGGAACAAGGGAGGATGAGTTGGAATTAGTAAACATTTAATTGAAAAGGTATGTGTGTGTGTTCTACTCACCGATATAAATTGTGATAGTAGTAGCGGATATCTAGTCAGTCTTTGTATGGGTTGTACCAGAAAACTATCAATGCCCAGCCGATCATTGATTTCATTTTGATAGTTCTGTAAAAGAAAATGAGAACAACAACAATCAAAAATCAATGTATAAAAGAAATTGAAAGTATCGGAGACGTCCCCCGTGTATAGATGACACTCAAAATGTCTTCAGGGTATGGAAGACCCTCAAACGGTTATTAATGTAATGATAACCTTCAGAAGGTCTTCTATTTAAAGAAGAGCCGTGCAAGGTTTTATACCTTAGAAGTATTTCTATGTAAAGAAGAGCTTCAGATGGTCTACAAACCCTCAAAAAATCTTATTTGTATGGGAGGCCGTCAGAAGTTGTTCTATGTATATACGGACCTCAGATATATGATACCATCAGAATGTCATCCATAATATGTTTCATATATAGCAAATTCGAGATAGGGGTTCCCTTGTGTAAAAGGCCCACAAAACACCTTCTATGTTTAGAAGTCTTCTTCTCAGCGTTCTATGTATAGAATACCTCTTGCGGCGGATCTGACAAAAATCATGGGTGTAATCTATTCATTTTCAGTTTGGAAGTCTGAAGTAATATGCAATACCAACTTGCATACACTTCGGTTGAAAAATTAGCCTATGCCCTATGTTATATCCAAACGTTGACCACTATTGAAAAATATTCATCATCAATATGTCTTCTAGCGATAGAAGACCATCCGAATGACTCCCAGACATATTTCGATTTTATATATAAAGAAAATATACACAGGGTGTTCAGGGCAAGATATGTAGAAGACCCACAGAAGGCTTCTATACAGCGAAGAGAGCATAATCTGCAATTTCAACATATCTGTTGAAAATGAGGCTGCGACCCTCAAAATATATAAAATGAGGTCGGGGCCGTTATACATTACAGCCACATTAGCTGGAGAATGCAGCTGGGTTCTTTAAAAGATATTGACCTTTATAGAGGAGATTTGTCAAAATATGGACTTATATTGATATTTTTCTTATCCTTTTGACAATGACAACTAAAATTTACGGCCCTTTATATGGATGTGTAACCGAATTGAAACCTATATTGAAGATCTTGGACCTAGGAGTATGTAAATGCTCTGAGAACCGTAAATTCCATATTACGACCACGTTTTTTATAAACTGCGGCCAGAATGTTAAAAATATTTCAAATCGTGCAGATCTGTGGCCATTAATGTGATCTATATTTAAAATGACAGGGGGTATTTTGTCCACTTTAAACCCCTACTGCTAAATTACAGACTGTTTTATCCTCATAGAAACCCAAATACCAATTATGGACATTTCGTTTGTAAAATCTGTAGAACCGTTTAATATACCAAAATTAAACAGTCTCGTATATATTAATTACGTCTAGACAAAAACCCGTATAGAATTTTTTCCTTGATGCCAAATACCTAATTACAGGCACTACGGCTGAAAAATAGTTCTTGTACCTTCAAAATATTTGAAAAGGAGTGGGACTCTTATAAGGACCAGCTAAGTCTGAACATGTACCTATTTTGGAAATTTTCTTCCAGGGAATATTTTATCCTTGGACATACCTCATATGCCAAATTAGAACAACTTCGGCTGTAAAATGCACCTTTAACCTTCCAAGTACTTAAAATGGGGACTATGACAAAACTTGGACCTATATTGAAATTAGTTTGCCTTGAGTAATTTTATCCTCAAAAAACAGTAATGCGATCTTATAGCCAAGGTTTATCTTCTAAAGAGCTAAAATGTCTAATTACAGCCACCTAGGTTGAAATATACTGCTGGACTTTCAAAATATTTGAAAAGAAGTGGTGCGGGCTACATTTAAACATACGCTCGTATGCTGTGAATTTCGGGAGGTATTTTATATTATGACCACATCAATTTCAGTTATGTGAAATTATAAAAACATCTGTTGGAAAATGCGATTAAAACCCTTGAACTGGATGAAATGTTAATAATAATCTCCTTAGAATCCGAAGTTCCCAATTTCATTGAATACAGCTGTTAAGATCTTCGAAATACCAAAGTGGGCGGGGCTATGACCACAGATAGACAATTTATTTGTACTACACTTTGAGAATCCGAAATGTCACTTTGGTTGGAAATACTACTATAACCTCTCCCCCTATCGTGGGACTTTAAAAAAAAACGATGAGGTCAAGCATAACATTAACATTTTTCAGGAAGGAAAATGTGAATCATCTCAGGATCCTAAATGTAAACAGTGATTTCGTTTGAAAATTCGGTTCCGACCTCGTAAATAACTAACATTTGCCCAGCACGTATCTGGCGCTGTCAAAATATGATATGACATGAATCGATATGATAATATACTAGGAAACGATATTTTAACCTCTGAGTGCAATAGAGGTCGAATTACTGGTACATCTTATGGAAAATGGACCATAAACCTGTAAAATACCAACAATGGTATGGGTTTCGTTATATGGAACCATTTCCAAAAGTGAACTGATCTATTCCTTTTTTTAAAAAATCCAAACTGTCTTGAGATTTCAACAGCCAGATGGAAGTAGAAGACGCAGTGGTCAATGGAATTATCTTTTTATGCCCATAACCACATTGTGGTTCAATGTGGTGATGGGTGGAATGTTTGTAACATCCGGAAGGAAATGAGATGGACCCATGTTTTTTTTTTTGTGTTTGTCCGTCCGTTCATTTATATTTGTGAGCAAAGTGCAAATCGCAAGGACGAACCCTATTGAAATCGAAGAAAATCGGTTCAGATTATATATATCTTCCATGCTATGTCTTTGCTATCTACATATATACCATGGAATATTTCTGGATTTAATATAAATTTTTGTTATGGCAATGGAGTTAACTTCCGATTTTTCCAAATATAAACTTTAAATGATTAAATTTTTAATCTTCCCATTGATAGCCATTTTGGACCGAGAGAACTGTCCTGAAATGATAACGTTAACAAGTTGCTCTTTTAACAGTGATCTGTAGCATTAACAGCGCTGTGTTAAGATCACAGATGTATATACAACTTATCCCATCAAACATGATGCTGGAGTCAGTTTGTCATCGGTTCAGATTATATATATCTTCCATGCTATGTCTTTGCTATCTACATATATACCATGGAATATTTCTGGATTTAATATAAATTTTTGTTATGGCAATGGAGTTAACTTCCGATTTTTCCAAATATAAACTTTAAATGATTAAATTTTTAATCTTCCCATTGATAGCCATGTTGGACCGAGAGAACTGTCCTGAAATGATAACGTTAACAAGTTGCTCTTTTAACAGTGATCTGTAGCATTAACAGCGCTGTGTTAAGATCACAGATGTATATACAACTTATCCCATCAAACATGATGCTGGAGTCAGTTTGTCAACCCTTTAACTGATTGATGTTGTTCCTCTAATCAGATATTTTCCTAAATAAATATGAAATTTATCTTCAAGGACATTGGAAACGCTAAAATAATGAACATTTATTTAATAATTACCTGAAACCATTCGCGATTATCCTTTCGTAATTGCATTGATGTCTGTTTATGCATCGTAAACGTCACATAACAATAAAATTGATTTTTCTGTAAAACAAAGAAGAGGATAACAGAAATATTAGTAAAATTATTATTATTATTTTTATAAAATATTATACTTTTATTTTACATCAATGTAGGAATTAAAAAAATAAAAATAATATTATAGAGACCCTACCTTAATATACAGATTTTTTAAATTTATTATGGACATAATATCTCAGGCAATCGAGGAATTCAATTTAATGAATATGTGAATATATTTAGGAATCGACGGATATAAAACCTATTGCAGATACAAGGAGTAAAACAATCTCCTTCATTATTTCATATTTATAACTAATAACCCCCTTATCATTAATCTCCCATCCAACTTAATATTCACATCGATATTTCGAGAAATGTCCCTGAAATATTAGGCTTTATTAAAAAACATTTATTGCCAAATATTGAAATTCATAAAACATATACTATTTTATTGTAGAAAAATCCATATGTCATTTAAGTTGTCATGTCATGGAACTATGCTTAGCTGTCACAAAACAGGGCACATCATAAATTTCATACATATATATGCAAAAATAAAAAAATATAAATTTGTAAATATTTATTACTGAAACTTCAGACAATCAACAAATCATTAAAAATTTCAATCACATAGAAGAGGAGTGCTGCTGCTATTCACAAAAAAATCTGGGAAAATTTGTAAAACAAAAAAAAAAAAATAACACAATAACTATGAGTATCCGCCGAAGGCACACACACATAAGTAAATACGTAATATTTATGAGTTTTGATTAAACTAACATTTCCCATACAAAGTAAAGATTACAAAAGAGAACAAGTAAAAATGGAGAGGAGAGGATCAAAGGCTGAAGAAAAACTTCAAAATAGCATGGGATGGGATTTTGTTTAGCTCGAAATCGAAATCTGATTATAATTCATTATGGTCTGAAGGTGACTATTTTAAATCCAATCTCCCTCATACCTGGATACCGGTACATAAATAATGTGTGTTCATACATGTATGCGTGATTACACATTAATCGAGTTAATTAAAAACAGAATTTTAAAAAAATAAACACACAGACAAAAGCTTCATTGAAAAGCAACAATTTGCTGCATTATCTGTCCATAGGTATAAGAGAATACAATAGCCCCAACAATGGTCCCTCATGACTTTCCCATGTCAAATTTTCCCTTAGTCGCCAATATTCAGCAAAACGTAAAAAACATCATCACATGTTTATATTACATCATTGTTGGCATGGCGTTTTAAAATAAAAACGTTACAATTTTTACGTACGTTTTTTTGAAAAAATACAAATTTGAATTTGAAAGTCACTGCAAAATGTGTGTGTTTGTAAGTTTTGTGTGCCATAAATTTGCCCTCAACTAACTGTTGATGCCTGTGGAATTTCAATTACCCAGTAAACATAAAAAATGTTTGCATACGAATTTTGTTGTAACAAAATAAAAACACTAGGCAAATGATGACGATATTATCGTGGGAGTGTTTAACAATCAATTTGCCTTATTTTTCAGAGTTTTCAACCATTTTGGATTTTTTGATAATATTTACACGTGCAAAATTTAAACATTGCCGAGTACTCAAGGTGACACAATATTTAACAATTTGTTCAATAAATTCCAGCCACCAATATTGAATAACTTTGTCAGCCAATAGATAAAAGTTTCCACGACAGGAGTCTGCGATCCGAAACGAGTCTTACTCGATCAATATGTGTTACCGCAGGCCGTTGTGTAAAGGCAGTATAGCTACTAAACAACTTAAACTTCTATAAGACATCTGCAAATAAAAGTGCTCCCAAACTTCTTCCGATCAAATTTTTTTATTATTTAATATATTCCCCAAAATTGTTTCCTGGGTTATTTCCTTTATCAGTTATTCATTATTATTCGTGCTGCAGGCAACAATGCATTCCATTTTACCATTTTTTTTTTACATTTTCCATCATTATTACCGTAGTAGCTTAATACAGTTATATTATTGTCATAATGCCATTATTCAAATAACACAAATACACATCTACACATATTTACAAATATAATTTACAACATTCCAGAACAAGTGAGGGAGAACACACATTATAACTGGGTGGGGTGAAACTCGTTGTGGACATATTACACGAATTTATTAAAAAAAAATCTGTGTATTTTTAACACCAATATTAGCATAATTTGTAAATGCTACCGAAGTAACTCATTACATACAGATATACATGTATGACTGACCATACATATGTTGACAGAGTGTTTAATGGAAAATAATTTTAATATTTTTAAGATTATTTTTCAGCAATTATAATCGGGTCTGAATCGCCAAGTATTAAAAAATTATAACTCACCCAACCAAAAAATGTATTTAAATGTATTTCAAAATTGTATTTTATTGTCAAAATACGTCCTATGTTTAGAATGTTCAAAATCTGTTCATTCATTTGGAGTGAGGATCACCCAGAAGCATTGCAAAACCTATCAATACCCCAAAAAGTTGACAGATTGGTGCGGTTTATGGGCTAGTGGTACCGTTCCTCTGTACCTCTTCATAGATGATGCCAAAATTTGGTTTAAGCGGATGAACTATTTTGAGGTGCAGTCGCGATCAACATTTGCACGAAATAATCTTCAAACATTTATTTAAATTATATGGACCGTCGAACTATCGATTAATTTTTTTTTTTTTTTGCTCTTAACAAACCACCTTGTAAATGAATGACCCAGTTTCTTTTGCGGAGCGAAGCGCTTCCCCATCTGTAAGACCTCAAAGCGTGGAATTTTTTAGATAATTTTTGGAGAACCAAGACGTAATTTTTTTAAATAATTTTTTGAACACAATAAAGGCCCAAAGGCGTGGATTTTTTAAATAATTTTTTGAACACCAATAAAGGCGTTGATTTTTTTAATCATTTTTTGAACACCAATAAACGCCCAATAAATTTCTGAGCATCAATAAAGGCTCGAAGGCGTGGATTTTTTAAATAATTTTTTGAACATCAGTAAATGCCCGAAGGCGTGGATTTTTTAAATAATTTTTTGAACATCAGTAAATGCCCGAAGGCGTGGATTTTTCAAATAGTTTTTGAGCACCAATTAATGCCCGAAGGCGTGGATTTTTCAAATAATTTTTTGAGCACCGATTAATGCCCGAAGGCGTGGATTTTTCAAATAATTTTTTGAGCACCAATTAATGCCCGAAGGCGTGGATTTTTCAAATAATTTTTTGAGCACCAATTAATGCCCGAAGGCGTGGATTTTTCAAATAATTTTTTGAGCACCAATTAATGCCCGAAGGCGTGGATTTTTCAAATAATTTTTTGAGCACCAATTAATGCCCGAAGGCGTGGATTTTTCAAATAATTTTTTGAGCACCAATTAATGCCCGAAGGCGTGGATTTTTCAAATAATTTTTTGAGCACCAATTAATGCCCGAAGGCGTGGATTTTTCAAATAATTTTTTGAGCACCAATTAATGCCCGAAGGCGTGGATTTTTCAAATAATTTTTTGAGCACCAATAAAGGCCCGATATTTATATTCAAAATAATTTTATATAATTCTGAAAATAACCAAATGTAAAAAATGGCGCTCAATATTATATTGATATTAATGAAAATTTCCCCCCCAATATGACTATTCACTTCGGTTCTAGCCAAAGACGAAACCGATTTAGTATGCCCTACGCAACTATGTTGTCGGGGTATTACAGTTTTGTGCAGCCCCAAAAGTTTGTAACGCCGCGAAATATTACTACTAGACCCCCCTTTAAGTATACCGATCATATCTCGACTAGTTGAGTCGATCTTGACATGTGTGTCCGTCCGCCAGTATGTCCATTATAATTTTTATACTCGATACAGGCCACAGTTATGGACCAATCTTCACGAAATTTTGCATTTAGGATGAGTTCTGACCAATGAAGACTCCTATTGTCTTTGTGTAAAGATCGGTTAATATTTAGGGGATGACATGGACCAAATACTTAATTATTGTCGGTTTTTCTGGTCGCACCAGAGGCCGAACTTATGGTCCAAATTTTACATGGATAAGGGGATCGGGCCAAAGAATAACCATGGCTGTTTCGAGTAAAATACACTCCAGGAGAAAAAATATACTCCATAGAATGTAAATTTTGTCATTTTTTACACAAAAGTCTGAATCCATTTGACCCAAAGTCTGAATCCAGTCTGAATCCATTTACTCCTGAAGGACACGGACCAGAAACGTTGATGATTGTATTGTTGTATGTACACGGATGTAGGAGTTACTTACTTAGATGGCTTATGACAGAACGGTTGTTCCATAAAACGAGCTTAAACCAGTAAGGAAAGTAGTAAAGTCGGACTGGGCCGACTATATGATACCCTTCACCACTTTGGGTATATTGTACATATGTATCCTAACAGACGTCGCTTGTTTGTTATGTATCTATATCTGAACCGATTTCAGGGAAACTTTCCAGAGACTAATTTATATTACTTCTGTACGTTGTATCAATCTGCCCAGCTATGGATCTTTTCACGAAGCTTAGCAACATCATTCTAGGCTTAATTCAGTACCCTATACCAAAATCCGTGCAAATTGAAAGATATATAGGAACTTTTAAAGATATATAGGAACATCAATTACATAAAATCGCACGAACATATATATGGGAGCTACATCTAAATCTAAACCGATTTTCACGAAACTTAGCACACATTATTATAGACGCAATTCAGTACGCTATGCCAAATTTCGTGCAAATCGATAGATATATATGGACTTTGAAACACAATTTACCTTAAATCGGACGAAAATATATACGGGAGCTATATTTAAATCTGAACCGATTTTCACGAAACTTAGCACACATCATTCTAGACCTTATTTAATACGCTGTGCCAAATTTCTTGCAAATCAAAAGATATATAGGGACTTTGGTGCACCAATTACATAAAATATATAAATAAATATATATATATATATTATAAAATATATATATTATATAAATATATATGGGAGCTACATCTAAATCTAAACCGATTTT